TTATTCGTTAAAAAAACAGTTTGTAGTGTGTCTTTTCATTGTTTTAAACTTCCAAAAGAACATGGTACGGTAACCACTCGCTTATGTTTCCGATGATACAGATTAGTCACGCTAATCAATTCCAAACTCTACTTTGACGGACTTTTTTTAGTTTTTTTCTTCTAGTAGAATGTGTTTGGCGCATGCGCAGGGAGTATTAACCTCCGAGTTCTTTCTCTTTTCACTGGCACTCCTTTAAGCAAAACCTTGCGTATATCAGAATAAACGAAATCTCCTACTTTTGTCTTTTTCTTTTCTTTTTTCAAAAAGAGGAACGCTCTTTGAATGATATACTGTCAATGTGCGAGGCTTTTATAACGTTTATGGAATTGGGATCTAGCTTAAGTCAGAAACCTATGCTTTAGAGTCTTTGCTTAAATTTCCACAAAAAAACATTGAAGATGCTTGTGCTTACCATAGTTTGTAGAGATTGCTTTCCTCTATCAAACGGTACGCAGCATGCCTCAACCAGTGCTTATATCGGTAATAAAAACTTTGTCCAAATGCAATGCCTGAGAGCTCTCGAGCAGACTTAATACTATATACTTGAAGGGGTGTGCTGGATAAACAAAAGTTGTGAAGGCTGCTACCTATGCCACAGTGCAAGCTGATCATAGAAAATAATGACCGGAAGTGCTAGAATGGTAGAGCTGCATCAAATCAAAAATAACAGCTTGCCTTGTAAGTCCTCTGATTTTAGCAAGCCGAGAAGATCGGTGTTGAGTAGATATTTTCTGAACTGGGCACTATCTCTACAGAATAAAACATATGCGTTTAGGGGTCGCTTTAGGGAGCGCAGCAACGTTCAAAAAGCGGAGTTCTTGAAAGTATTTTGAGCCGAAGAGAGCCAAAATACGTCTGTGGTACAAACTCTTGATAATAAGATTAGCCAATCCATGCTACTACGGAAGACCTCCAAGATACTCCTTGTTCAAAACAAGCAGTAAAACAGATGTTAGTGAATGCACGCTAAAATCTATCTAGTTTAGGAAATATCTTTTTTGGACTAATATTCCAGACTGAACCACAGTATTCCAGAAAAGGTACTCTTCGTACCTCCCTCTCATCCAAATTGCTTTATGCATAGAACAAACATTTCCAAGCATGGAGCACATGGCACAACATGAAGGTTCAACAACTAGGGTCAGTTTCGGCTGAAGTACTTGAAATGGGCTCTATTACCATTCTTAATTGCAAACTTCATGCCGAAGATCCGGAAAAAGTTTATTGTTATAGCTTTTTCTCAGCCCTGTCAGGCTTTCTGATGAATCAACTCCAGTCTCCAAACTCACACCATTTTAACTTTTGGTGCTACGGCAGCCTTCGTTTTTCGAAATTTCGCGTTCAATTACCCCATAAACAGCACAACCTTTTTTAGATCGTTGGCATATGCTGCAGCAAATTTGAGTATGAGTTCACAGCAGCTTGGAAAGTTCATAGGAGATAAGTGTCAATGAGTGGAGACATTGTACTTCGATGGGATACCCCAACCTGGGAAACACGAGGATAACCTTCGCATACGGAGAAAGAAATCCGGTTTTAGAAAAAATCAATCAAACTTAGCTATAAAGTTGGGTACTGTTACCTTTGAATTTCTGAATAATCAACCAGATACATGCTTTCGTTATAACAGAACATATAGAGTTTTATCTAATTTTTCGTTGCTCCGATGACCTAATCTCGGCAACCTTGTAAACATAGTTGATATAGGACTAGCAATGAACGCGTGTTGTACGAAAAATCTACTTTGCTGCACCAATTTGAAATACTAAGCAAGATTGCTCCTATCTTATAAGGTGTCGGCGAAATACTGATGGGCCTAATTTTTGACTTGTATGCTTAGGTTCTGCAACAAATGCAGCCTGTCCCTGCAATCTTGATACTGGGGGTTTGCCATTGGAAACACTCAATATATGCATTAGAGAGACACTAAGTGCCTAGACACAATTGTTTGAGAAAATGAAAGGAGTGCTTTTATATTAGGTTGGTCCGAAAGTTCTGTCCCATCATATTCAAAAAATCGTAACTTCTTCCTAACACAATATTTTTGCAAGAGTAAAACCACATTAGAAAAAGCAATTTATGTACTTTCTAAAACTGAGTTGGCTGCTATTCATTAAGCTCTGAATGCAGAGATAAAATTAGAGAAAGGAATTCATTTCAATTTCGGAATTTTTAGGCAAACCCGTTAGAAAATCCAAAAGTGTGCTATAAAATCCAAAACAGCCAATATCCTAAATTATTTCATCCCCTCTTTCCAGCTGGCAAAATTTGCGTTGATCGAGCTGTTCTTCGGAAAGTTATGATTTTTTGAAAAAAATGTCAAAAAATCAATTTTCTTAAGAAACTGATTTTTCGGCATTTTTTCTTGAAAATCATAACTTCTTTCAAAAAAGCTCGATCAACGCAAATTTTGCTCAGCTGGAGAAGATCAAAAAAACTAGGATACTGGCTGTTTTGGATTTTATGGCACACTTTTGGATTTTTCAACGGGTTTGCTTAAAAATTCCGAAATTAAAATGAATTTTTTTCTCTAATTTTATCTCTGCATTCAGAGCCTAATGAATAGCAGCCAACTCAGTTTTAAAAAGTACATGAATTGCTCTTTCTAATATGGTTTTAATCTTGCAAAAACATTGTGTTAGGAAGAAGTTACGATTTTTTGAATATAATGGGACAGAACTTTTGGACCAACCTAATACGATACTTTTTGACTAAGCGCACAATAATCACCTTCCCTTCTCTTTATACAATCTTTCTTCACGATAGTGTAGGGATGGACACTACAGCGAAAGCCTTATTCAGTATACATTGATGGCTCGCGCCTCCACTCATAGGGCTCCAAGATTGCGACTACATCTTCAGCTGCTTCTAATCTTGGTACAAGCTAAAATTATTTCTTGCATCCTATAATTGACTAAGGATCTCTTTCATTTTCAGTGTTTACGATAGTCCGTAGACCGATCTTTCGCAGTAACATTTTGGCTCTCATATGTATGATTGATGATTGTTGCTTGTGATTTTCCAGTAATGATTTCAAATATCTGTCTAGAATTAGCGTTTTTTTCTTCGTTCTCTTACTGACTATCATTTAGTTTTTTTCCTATTCTATATAGGCGCACTATTTGAACATTTAAAAAAGAATTAAATCTTCTGATTGGTTTCTTTAGCAGCATCCAAGATTGGTACAGATATTTATTCCATAATATACAAATTGAAGTTTCTGCAAACTAGCCTTCTTCAGAGTCTGAAAAGCCGAAAACATATAAGTGAAGTATCCGATCAAACACCTTACCAAATACAGAAAAGAGCCCAACCCTCTAGACAACCAACACCTTGACAGATGTTGCTGCCTTAACAACACCTTAACAGGTGCTGCTCACCTTAACAGATGATAAGTAAATAAATCCCTCTATATATCAGGACGGTTTAAATGCTCTTTCCGTTTAATCATCCCGTCATAAAAACACAGATAATCGCCGGGGGCGGGCGGTCCGCAAATTCGCGCTTTTCTGCAAGCGGTCAGCAGAATTTTGGGAAGTGGCCAAGCCTTCAGCGGGCCTCACTTCCTTTACCGTCGCATATTCTGCCAGCGGGCAACAATACAGCATTTTCTGCAGGCGCTCGTCAAATAATCTCTTTCTGCGAACGCTGGCCGAACTTTAAACAGGCGCTCGGGCTTTTTCACGCAGTTTCGGGCGTACGTCGAGCACAGGTAAGACTCTGTGTGGCAGAGGTGTCAGCGTTGGTTTAACTACTCAAGTTTGAGGTACCTTCTCTCAGCGGAAAGTACCTGGGGGCTGGCGGTCCTCCACAAAGGACCGTGCGGCCCCCAAAAACTTTGCATAGTCTCGCGGAAAGTCTGCGAGAATGCCGCCACTGCGTCGCAGCTAATCTATAAGAAAACCGCGATTGTTCTTCAAGCATTCGCCTGAAATTTCGCTAAAATTCTTCCAAATATCTGCAAGCGGACCGCAAGAAATCAACGAACTATTTTTCCGGTGCCCGCCCGCCCGTAAATCGCATGGCCGCCTGCCCCCCGGCGATTATCTGAGCTGAGGGCTGTGCAGTCCTCCACAAAAGACCGCGCGGCCCTCAATAATTTTGTATATTCTCGCGGAAAATCAGCGAGAATGCGGCCACTGCGCCGCAACTAATCTATAGAAAAAACACAATATTTTTCCGAGCATTCCTCTAAAAATTGGCCAACATTCTTTCAAACTTCTGCAAGCGGACCGCACGAAACAGCGAACTATTTTTTCGGTGCCCGCTTGCTCAAAATTCGCATGGCCGTCTGCCCCGGCGATTATCTGAGCAAGCGGAATTAAAAGACAAATGCTTCAAACACTAACCGACGCAGTTTTTCTTCCTCTTTCCAATATTCACATCTCGGGACTATTTGCTTTGATGGTTTCTGAGATAATTGCCGTTCAGACCCATGGTTTTTACCATGCCTAACTTCGACAATTTTTCAAAATCTTCATTTTGGAATTTGAAGAAGCATTGATAGCAGTTAGATAGCGCAAACAAAATGCAGTGCAATCCAATTTTCTCGCATTTCCACTTAGTTCTTAGCATCTCTTAGGATAAGTTTTCAAAAGTCTTCATTTTTGCAAAATCACAAAATAATACACCAACGCTCCAAACACTAACAAATCGCTGGAATTTGAAACTTTTAATTATCGATTATGATAATACCCTAACTTTACAGGCCATCAGAGCGTTTGCTTGGAAATATCAAATTTCGCATTCTACGGGTTCAGTATGAGGCGGGTTCAAAATTGAATATTATGATTATTTTATCGCCAAATGCTCCACGAATTGCAAAAAACCCCTATCAGAAAGAGAAAAAAAGACGCATCGAATGACATCTTAGATGTGCTTAGTTTGATGTTCTGTGAGTTTCAGTATGACTAAAATAGAAATTGATAGCATCAGAAATATAATTGAAAATTTTTTTTTCACCAATCTTCCCGGATGGCCCTCCGCTGTGAACACCTTTTCCGTTCACCAGGCTCTCCTGGTGGTCCAGTAATACCTCTGAATCCTTGCTTGCCCATTTCTCCACATTCTCCTGCAGGAGAAGGTGGAGCAGATTTTCCTGGTAGTCCGTTGCTGCCGCGTCTGCCGCGCTCACCTTTTTCTCTTTGTGGGCCACGCCTCCTGCACAATGTGGCTGCTTTAACATTATCAATAGTCTGAATGGATTTCTGAAGTTGGCTCACCCCGGTTCACCGACAGGATTTTTTCAGGACAGGGCATTCTCGGACGCATAATGGCCTAGTATCCAGATCAGCAGGACGACCAGTTCGTCCTGGTTGACCTTCAAGGATTCAATGCCTTTGAAAGTCCACAAAACGAAATGTTCTACTGCACGTACCTGGCACCCCGTCCATGCCATCTCTGGATGTCCTGGATGTTTTTTGGGTCCGGGAAGGCCAACGCAGCACGCTGAAAAGATGCATCTCTGTTACGAAAATTCACAATTAAGAGAGATGACTGTAAAGATCAAGAAGAATAAAAATAATGAGTTTAAATGTGTAATATTTAACAGATTTACATGCCAGCTCACTCTTCTCTCTTATACTTCTGTGCAGCTCCACTTTCGCTGCATCCACTTTTCTCCATAGTTCTCCGATGAGGTTCTGAAAATGTTTAATTGCATAAAGCGTAATTACGTTTTCAAAATCATTTCAAAATGGGTCATGAATTTTTCGTTATGTTCTACTAGAAAATCTATATTTGCAAGTATAAGATTATCATGACATCCAAAGTTTCATCAGTCGTCATTCCAGGATGACTGGTATGTTGAAGATGGTTAAGACGATGGGTAAGCGAAATTTGGTAGAACTTTTAGTATGCCAGTAGCTAGAGCCTGAATAGCATCAGTAAGTTATAAGCGAATCTTGGCATTATTAACTTATGCGGACAATGTTAAACCCAATTTTTCATTATTTGGCTAATGAGGGGTAACTATTTCTAGTGATACGGATCACACGAAACCACTACGATTGCACTTTTTCGCTTGTTGGACAGATCCGCTAAATACCTACACTAAGGTAATTATTGTCTACTCACATCTACTTAACCTCAAAAAAAGCTTTGCGCAGCCCCATTGCCATACTTGGGTGTAGAGGTCCGACATGAATAGCTATGCAGTTGACGGGGTAAATAATGACAGAAGTTTTCATGACACGTGGCACGACTTTGATGTTTCTTGCAAAACTGATATGATTTCAGATGATAACACTTTCTTTCAAAGAGATGGTTTCTCATATTCTTATATGACACACCTTTGATGCATATTTATCTTTGCTCTGCCTAACGAAATACAGCCAATCACAATCACAATACAGATGTAAATGTTTGTACAAGTTTGCACTATGCTGTATTTATTATCGATCAGATGCGTATTCTGTCTGGGAAATCTTGTGCTATCGTATTATTTATTACTTTGGTCATGTTAACCTTTCTGTTTAAGACATCACCTAAAATAACTGAGGACACCACGGAAGTTTCTGCTATTTTTGAAAGTGCTTCAAAATTGTCTGCAACAACAAAAGATTTCACGGAAGTTTTCATCAATGACCCTGCCCTGAAGATATTATATGACCAGTCCAAAGCGCCGCTTTGCGGCGCTTCGGACTGGCTGTGTGTGTGAAGTGGGATGTGACTTCAAAGTTAGAACTAGAAACCTTTTCTTGCGCAGACATTCAACGAACCCAGAGATTAACAAAGATAAGTGTCAGAAGTTTCCTGCTTTATGTAGTTCCATAAGTACTAACAAAAGTGCCAATAGATTTTTTACCGTTTTCTCCCAGCTTTCCAGGTATGTATGCTCTTGTACTTCGCAAACTTGCGCTTTGCTGCCCTCCCTGAGTTCTTCGAGCCAAAATGCATCCCGCTCTCCTTCATATCCTTTTCACCCAAAAGCTTCCCTTATGAAACTTTCCAAATTACCATTCTTTTCTCGCACTCTCACATCCTTCAGATCTTACTTAGTCGTTTCAAGTCTTGCCTCAGAGGTGCCGTTGAGATGCGAACTTACACCTTTACAGTCTGTTCCCCGAATCACGCTGCGCCCTCAAGATTCCGCGTCATGTCTGCGGTTTGCTAATGGTGGTTATGTTGGGTTCGGCAACCTTTTCCCAGCTATGTACAATCTATTGGCTGTTTTCAGCCGGGGCCCTACCCTCGACTGTCCTGCGAACTACCCCAACACTTCACAACACTTCACTCTCCATTAAATCTCTTGGGCTCGTATGAAAACCTAAGCGACGTCCCCGGTCATGAAAGGGCCGGGAACACTGTCGAACACTGGGGCTCTAACCAACATTCCAACTTATAATATAGAATTTTTCTAAATCGAAGAGCATTCCTTCCTCTTCACAAAATATGCTTTGTTGGAAGCGTGCACAAATTCTTTCCAATTCAAGAATCTTAATGTCAAATCCCGTTAGCGTTCTATATAGGCTATCCAAATTGTTCAACATCTATGCTTTTCCACCCAGCTCCAGAGTCCACCCCAATTTCCAATTCATCTTGATAGGCTACTGACTTGAATTCTATAAAGAGAGCTATTATTAAAGTTTAACTCCAGATTCAGCTGTTCATCCAAGCAAATCTTCAGTGTTTATACGATTCTGGGACTGTGCAATGTTTTGACAAAATAGCTCCAAAAACTACATGTTCCTGAGGTTAACAAGGGTTGAGTTGACGGTTTGTGAAGCCCTTTCTTTTCATCTTTTTTACACTGACAGCAAACAGACAGCATGTAGCTCCAAAATTCTATTACGATCGCAGTGACGTTTTTCATAGTATTTCTGAAATTTTTCGGTCTTTTATGAAAAATCAGAAGTTCTAAGATGCAGTCTTCTGAACCTACGATTTAGTGAGCTAAGTGAGCTTCTTGCATCCAGCGTAGTTGCAAGACAATTCGCATCACCATGTTTCTTATCACTTAGTGGTTAACAATTGGAAAGTTTACACAGTGTTGAGATGTATGATTAAAATTAAAGGCTTTCGAAAAGCATCAGACCTTACAATTACGCTTGCATGTGGGAGGAGTTTTCTTATGGTAGTGTTCAATAGCTTGATTTCATAGTAAACATTATCGAGAAAGCCAAGTTAGCGCAATATACGATGACGTCATTAGGTTGCACTTACGCTACTGGGTCGAATCGTAACGGTAAACAGTATGGAAGCGAGCGAAAGTGCAAAAGTTAAGACAAAGATCTGGGCAAACATCCTTGCTGGTTGTTGACGTGCGATGGTCCCCCCTGCGCTTTATTATAGAGTATGATGTTGAAATCGATTACAATCCGATACTTCCGTCCTGGCTGCTTCCTTTGCAGAAGAAGAAAAGTCGTTAATCTGACTAAAAAATAATGAAACATCATTATAATCTAGCCATATCTTTACAATCAATTTTACATAATTCTAAAGTTCACTGGCCGGCCGTCAAAGCAAAGATATTCTAAATGAAATATTTATACCATTCAAATCATCGTATGATTGCACTTTCTCAATTATTCAACTATTCAAATACTCAAATATTCGAATGCTCAGGACAAATAATGATTGCGAGTATGCAGTTTAACTATAAAAAAGTACTTGATTGGATTCATGCAGCTGTAGAAAACTGTAGAAAGAGTGATGAATACATATTAGGTTAATGCATAATTCCTGCACCAAAATAGGTACAGATCGCAATAATCGGAATAATCCTATACCCCATAGGATTCGATATATCATTAGATAGAGCAAACCTAGCTTTACAAGGTAGTGCTTGAAGATTTGCAGAAGCCTTGATCCAGCGAAGATTGAAGCCAAAAACTAAAAAGATCCAAGCGCCCCAAAAAACCAAGAAAAAATTGGAAGTCCGTTTAGAAAAGTCCTTCAAAATTCCTAACATGCTCATGCATTGTCATTTCGTAAAAGACATTTCTCTAGGCAGTTGCTGTATTTCCCTCTTAGCTAGAAATTGAAAAAGCGAAGTTTTTTCATGTTTTTTCCAAAACAATGCTGAGACGTTCTAGCACTAACAGTTGTATACCATAGGACTTTAAAAGCGTGAGTGTGAATTTTCAGCTCTTAGCAGCAGCTAGTTTACGAGAAATATCGAATTTTTTGCAACTAGACAAGAAAAATTTGGATGAGGAGAGCTGGATTCGTCATTTCTCGTGAACTTGCAGTTCTAGAAGATTGAAAATGTAAAGTTTCACTGCTAATGGCATGTACTATACAACTGTTAGAGCTAGAACATCTCAGCACTAATTTGGCAAAAACATGAGAAACTTCGTTTTCTCATTGTCTAACTGAGAAAAAAATACAGCAACCGCATAGATAAATGTCCTACGTAGAATGTCTACGCGTGAGCAAAGAGGAAATTGAGTAGGAGCTTTTTGAACGAAGTTACATATCTGTTTTGATTGGTCCTAAGGTTTTTTAACGTATGATTTTTTTTCAGTTTTCGGCTCGAAACTTCGCGTGGATCAAACTGGTGCAGATATTTGAAAACTGTCTCGTAGAGCTAGATTTGCTCTATCTAGTGATTTATCGAATCCTATTTGAGATATAGCTTTGTTCCAGATTATTGCGGTTTGTACCTATTTTGGTGCAGGAATTATGCATCAACCTGATACATTAAAAAACGTAATGATATAAAAAGTAATGAAAAAATCATCAACATTAAGGAATAGAAAATTCTTTCATAAATTGAAATCACTTCTTTACAAATCAAAATTAAAAAGCAAACATAGTTATGACTTCTATTCCAAATTCAGAGAGCTAAGAAATAACTTGGTAATATGCCCATTAGGTAAAGCCAGCAATAATTTTGGTCTGATATGTAAAAGATTTCATATACAAAAGTTGATGAATGAACTAGGTATCAATTTAGTATGACTAAATTTACACTTTTCACAAAATCCAGCATATGACATATTGGGTCGGTTCAAAAGTTCTTTCGGTTTTTTCAACCTGTCATAAAAACACTTGGAATAAAGGCAGGCAAAGGCTATAAACAATATCAGACGCAGTTTTTCTTCCTCTTTCCAGCTTATGTTTTGAGACCATTTGCTCTGGTGGTTTCTGAGATAATTGTCGAAATTCCCAACACACGGTTTTTACCATACCCAAATCGACTTTTCAAAAACTTCATTTTGAACTTCTGGAAAAGTGTTGATAGCATTTAGATAGCATGAACAAAATGCAATGCAGTGCAATTTTCTCGCATCTCCATTTAACTTCTTAGCATTTTTAGGACAACTTTTTCAAAAGTCTTTATTTTTGCGAAGTGGCAAAATACACAAAGGCTTCTGACATTATCAAATCGTCGGAATCTGAAGTTTGCAAAGATCGATTTTGATAACACACTAACACTACAAACATCAAAGTGTTTGTCGCTTAGAAATATCAAATCGCATTCTACAGGTGCAGTATGAGGCGGGCTCAAAATCAGAATTATGATAGATTTTTCGCCAAATGTTCCACCAAGTGGGAAGAAAAAACCTATCAAAAAGAGGACAAAAAACTGCATCGAATGACGCCTTAGTTGTGCTCCGTTTGACGTTCCGTGAGCTTTGGGATGACCAAAAGTGGAATTTGATAGCATTAGAAATATTTTT